GATCCTTTTGGGATGACTCCCTCAAGAAAATTGAATTTCCAGCAGCTTACAAAACACTTGTATAAAAATAAAAGAGGTATAAAAAAATACAATATAAGATAAACAATAAACTCTTAGCTAAATATAGAAAGTAGAGATAAGAATAAAAGTAAAATAAAATAAAATAAAATAAATGTAGAGAACTGTATAGAGGATAAATAGGTATAGGACTTGTTATGCAATGTGTTAAATTAATCAACACACCGAGGGATAAACACATGAAGAATATTTAGCAGTTAAATTAAGATTCATCTCAGCTTAAGCGGTGGATTAAGTCAACGCAAAAAAAAGAAGAAGAGCAGTAATGAAAAACATTAAATACATTGAGTTTCTATTTAACAAAAGCCAAAAAGTTTCCGTTTTCTTTTCTCCTTTCACTGTCCCTTCAGGGCAGATAGATAGATAGATAGATAAATATTCCTTCATTTGTCCCACAATGGGGAAATGCCAATGTAACAGCAGCAAAGTGGATAGAGAAACAAAACAGTATAAATAAACAGCAAGAGTATAGGGCAATAACAAAAACACTATGTACAAGAGAAAAAACAGTGAGAATCCACAACAACAGATAACACAAATAACACAAAAAAAGATGCAGATGCAGGATTAACAAGTGCAGGACTTATTCCCATTAACCCGCGCAGTAATTACACTCTGAATAGCCGCACATGAAGCCCGTCCGCCCGGCCCATGCAGGGACATGAGATCCGCGTTAAAATAGTCCCTCCAATCAGAGCAGCCCACGTTTCTAGACGAACGCGGAAAGTGCGACGTGTGGACCAATCACGACGATGCCAGAGGCTGAAAGGTTTCCTCTACAAAGTGGTACTAAGCTTCTCCATCAACATGCTACGTGGAGGTGTTTTAGGTTCAAGTAAAGCTCATTGAGCCCCCCTCCCCCCCCCAGTCAAGGTGGGAGAACAGCGCTGTTAAATCGCCACAATTTCAAGCGGAACCACGTAGCTGCGTGCCCCTTTTTTTTTCTTTTCCACACGGAGCACCCTCTCGCCGGGACCGTAAATACACCACCGTCGCAGCTTGTTTCCTGCGGTCCGGGGCAGCAGAGAGAGGAAACGATGGAGATTTAACAGAGTGCACCGCCGCCTTCAATGACACCCGTCGGTGCTTCGACTTGACGTGAAAAGCAGAGCCGTGAAGTGAGCGGAGAAGTGCGAACAGTTCGAGGGATGGATTCGTGTCGGCGGACGGGACTCAGCGGGGTGCTGTGCTCCCTGTCACTGCTCTGTGTCATCCTCGACATCCAGTTGGACGGTAAAGGCTTCGTTTGCAGTCAAAATGAAGTGTTTTAAAGAGACTTTTTTCCTTTTCTTTTCTTTTTTCTCTAGACGTTTCTAAGCTTTTAAAAGTTTCCTCCCCCTCCCTCGCTCCCTCCCTCCTCCAGCGGCAGGTTAGGTTACATGAGACCTGCATGAAAATGAAAGTCACTGCCAAACTGTTACTGTAATATAAACCTGATTTAGGCTGTAAAAGCTACATTTAATAAGCGTATAAGGCGTTTAATAGTTGTAGTAATGGCTCAGAATAATATGGAATAATAATAATAATAATAAAATAGGCTTTACTTCCCTCCACACCTGACCTCTATTATTACATGTGTGAACTAAAACATGATTGTCTACCTGTTCACTCACTAAATGCGAATATGACATGTTAAATATGAGTGATGTGGATTAAAGTAGGGCTGCATAAGGCTTTTATTGTATGTCGATTGATCATTTATTTTCTAGTCAATGCTCACCACATATTATCAGTGGCTTTAGATGACTTGTTGTTTCCAATCAGCAGTCAAAAACCCAAATATATTAGAATTACACTAACATAAAACCCTAAAGAGACACGAAACAGAATATTTGCCATGTTTTCTTGTGTTGTTTCATGTTTCATCTTGTCAAAATGTAGATGGTTCATTTTTATGTCAATTGACTGATCATTTAAAATCCTCTATTGAGATGTACAGTATACATGCTGTGTTGTGGTTTTGATAAAAACACATTTTTTTAGGATAAGCCAGACATAAAACAGACAAACAGAGAATGTACTTATAGAAAAAAGGTAGATTATAAAGACAGTACTGATCAACTTAGATATGTATACAACAAATAAAGTAGTGAAATAACATATACAACATATTACTAATAATACACATAATGCAGCAATGAAAACATTAAATAAAAAATTGAATAAATAAACAAATAATTACTGTTTAAAAAAAAATGAATGCACACGATACAACGAGTTTGCATTCCTCCATTTCAGAGCCAGTCGATTTACATTGATAAAGTTAACTTTCAGTTTCTCTTCAGTAAAGACGCAGGAAGTTCAGTAAGCTTCTTATTTAGATTAAACACTGTGTGGTGACTTGAGTGAAGTCAGGTTTGTTTTTTCACCTAATGATATGAAACGTAAAGACATTGGGTGTCCTTTTAAAAGTGGTGTGAAAAAAAAGAAACCCTGACGGACAGACAAAATTAGGCTATAACACCGTCTGCTGTTATAATTTAGTTGCACCCTCTTTGTCAGTGATTTATTTCCAGTGGGGCTCAAGGACTGTTTTATGTTACAGGGGTCTTGGGGGCGACCCATGTTGAGATCGAGCACCACTTGGAGATGGGCCGCAAACTTTTGGCCGCCGGTCAGCTGGCTGAAGCCTTGTCCCACTACCACTCTGCTGTGGGTAAGGTTACACACACAGAGACACACACTGACACACATTTATACTCTCACCACTGGCTTGACATTTTCAGTCTGCCTCTGCCGCAGTAATGCCTGTCCTCCTCCACACTTAACACTTAAATACACCCACAAATTCATGTGTTTGAGTACAAAACTGAAATTGGGTGTTCTTGACATTTTACAGAGGGAGACTCTAAGAATTACCTGACCTACTACAAGCGCGCTGCTGTGTTCCTGGCGATGGGAAAATCCAAATCCGCCCTGCCAGACCTGACCAGAGCCATCCAGCTGAAGCCTGACTTCCTGGCTGTAAGTTCACCTGGAACCAGCAAATACTCGTAGTCTTAAGAAAGTAGTTCTCTTTTCCATGTGCTCATCATATTTCTTTCTGTCTCTTTTTCTCCCCTCCCCCCATTTCTTTATATTCCATCACTTTCAGGCCAGGTTGCAGAGAGGAAATATCCTGTTAAAGCAGGGCAACACGCAAGAAGCCAGAGAGGACTTTGAAGCAGTGGTAGGTTTAAGTCCTAACTCACCGCTTCTATCCGTTCAACGTTTTACCCGAAACCCCCAGAATAATGCATGCGGTTAAAGGAGGAATCCACCTGTTTTTTTGTCGTTGTTGTTGTTTCTTTTAGCTGCAGCGCTCCTCAGACCACGAAGAAGCTCAGGACCAGCTGATGAGAGCCAACGAGCTGGAAGAGCTGCAGGAGGAGGCCAATGCTGCGTACCACCAAGGGGATTATAGCACTACCATCAGCGTGCTAGAGAGAGTCATTGAGGTGTGTGTCAACTCTGGGACGGAGAAGGAAGCTGAGATTTGCATTTAAAGCCCTTTGCATGCATGTTGTCTGTTGTTTCTGTATGTTCCTAGCTGTGTTGTTGGTTTATCTACCATTGTTGCGTCTTGCGCTGGAGCCGAACCAGTTTGCACATCTCTGCTCACTCTTTCTTCAGATCTCTCCTTGGGATCCTGAGTCGCGGGAGCTTCGTGCAGAATGTTACATCCGAATGGGGGATCCGCAGAAAGCCATCCAGGATCTGACGCCGACCACGAGGCTACGCAACGACAACCGCGCCGCCTTCCTGAAGCTCAGCATGCTGCATTACAGCCTCGGAGAACACCACGAGTCACTCAAGTGAGCTTTGTTTGCTGGAATAAACAAACTATGTCATTCAGTCGGCGGAGACATGCAAATGAAGATGATTTTCATCTCAAGAACATCTGTTTCCCTCTGTTGTTTTGCTGGATTCCAAATGTGCTTCTCACTATTTATTCTTCACTCCATCTGTTGGTCTGTGCAGTCACATCCGAGAGTGTCTGAAGCTCGACCAGGATGACAAAGAGTGTTTCAGCCACTACAAGCAGGTGAAAAAGCTCAGCAAGCAGCTGGACTCAGCAGAAGAGCTAATTCACATGGAGAGGTTGGTACTTTACTGTAGGACTGGTGCACTTCTAATATCTCGTTGACACTCAAAAATGTGACCAAAAGTCGCCAACACTTGCAACCTAACTAAAGTAATTAATAACCCTTACTGAATCTTTCTCTGTATCTACAATTAGGTATCAGGAGGCCATCGATAAGTATGAATCAGTGATGAAGACAGAGCCGAATGTCCCGTACTACACCAACCTGGCCAAAGAGAGGATCTGCTTCTGCTTTGTCAAGGTGAGAGAGAGAGAGAGAGAATGAGAATCTGTACATGTAATGGCTCTCTAGACTGTAATAAACAGAACACAAGACTATATAGAAGTTATAATTAATTATAATGAAAGATAGTAAGATCAGATTTTCAGTTGGCGTCACACTTGTCAATCCAAAACACTTTATTCCTCTGTCTTGCCCCATTTTAGGTGAAGTTGGCTCATGCGGCGATAGACGTTTGTTCAGAAGCTCACCAGAGAGACCCCCGAAACGCCAACATTCTCCGAGACCGAGCTGAGGCTTACATCATGAACCAGGACTACGAGAGAGGTAAGAGGACTCAGCTTCTCAGTGACAATTCACTGCAGCAAACTGGCCTAAATGTTTGAAAAAGAAAAAATTAACTGGTTCAACAGGAAGCAGATCTTTGTGTGCCTTTAATTGACTGTACAGTACAGTATAAAGAAAGATATTGCATTTGCATGCACATATAAAAAGATGTATTAGGCACATTAAGCAGGTTCTCCATGGTTTAAAGGACCAGTGCGTAGGATTCAGTGGCATCTAGTGGTGAAGTTGCAGATTGCAGACATTTGAATACAGTATATAATACAGTAATGAAAACAACTTTATTCCATTTCTGCCAGTAGAGCCTCCTAAATGTTACACACTGGACCTAACTACTACTAATTTAATACTTAAAACATTCAACAAAGAATAGATTCAAAATGAGTTAGTAGACTGTAGTCTTTTATGTTTTTTTTTTTACATTTCAAAATAAAATTGTTCAGTCCAAATCGATGTTAGTGACATATAGGATTAATGTATATCATCATGTATTGTATCAGATAGGATTTTATTGTCTTGTGAAAAGAAAACAAATCTGGTTTGAAAAAAACGTTATTTTTTAGTATTTTTCAGAACCAATCAGAGCAAAAGTATGGTAGAAAAACATTTATTTTGTAATATGTGTTTTACTTCAGCTGTGGAGGACTACCAAGAGGCAAGAGAGTTTGACGACAACCAGGATATCAGAGAAGGGCTGGAACGAGCACAGAAACTGCTCAAAATCTCTCGCAAGAGGGACTACTACAAGATCCTCGGCGTCAGCAGGTACCCGCTCCAACCGGTGTTATTACAGTGTTTACTTCCTCTGGACTGACATCAAACACTAAGTCCAGCCACTGCAGATGACTTTATCGAGCAGATCTCCAACTAACCCTCACAAACGTTGTTTTCCTCAGGAACGCAAATAAGCAGGAGATCATCAAGGCGTACAGGAAGCTGGCGCAGCAGTGGCACCCGGACAACTTCCAGTCTGAGACTGAGAAGAAAGAAGCGGAAAAGAAGTTTATCGACATTGCGTCGGCTAAAGAGGTCCTCACTGACGCAGGTCAGGAGCTGAGATTGCTATACACTTTAGGAATTTAGTGGACAGTAATTGAGAGTAAGAAATGAGCAGGTACAGTTTCAGTGTCTTGACTTTGCAGAAGTACCAAAAAGTTCTAGCCCAGTTTATTTTCAAACTACTGCTGTCTAATTTGTATAAGAATAGTTTTGTGGAAATTTGCTCATTCGCTTTCTTGTCGAGAGATGGACAGAGGTGTAACAGTTATCCAGCGACATGATACAACATCATAACTCAATGAAAACAGGCTGCTAAAGGAAGTTATAAAAGCATAAATCTCCACAGGACCAAATACTAAATGTTAGTGACACTGCTGCTAGTGCTAGAATCACCGTTTATCTTTCACTGTCTTAAATTTGTCCCTCCATTCTTCCCATTGTCTTGCCAGAAATGAGGCAGAAGTTTGACGCAGGAGAGGATCCCCTGGACCCCGAAAACCAGCAAGGGGGAGGCGGAGGACAGGGCTGGCCTTTTGGGCACTTCGACCCCTTTCAGTCTGGCGGCAGCTTCCACTTCAAGTTCCACCAAAACTAGAGAGGAGGACTTGAGGGACACGAGTGTGGGGTGTGGGGGGTGGGGGGGATTTTGGGGAAAGATCAATCGCGGATTCATGAAGAAGTCTTCCTCAGAACTTGTGCTTCAGTTTGGACACTGTTTTTGTCGGTTACTTGAACCTTTGATTTTTTTAATGCAGCGGAGGGTTTGAGCTGTACAGTGAACCACAAAGCCTGCGGCGGCTATCGAGTGAACTCGTCGCTGTGGTAGAACAAAATGAAGTCCTGTGTCAACACTTCAGATCCTTTTAAGAACGGAGAGGGTGGTGGTTGAAAGCAGTCGATGTGGGACTTTTGGGTTGTCTGTTCTTACACTCATTTCTTTCTTTGTGCCAATCTTGGAACCTTTTTATCAAGGAACTATTTTTTTTTAATTTTTTTTTTTTAAATGCAGTAGCTCCTGTTTGGACGTTACATAGGAGGACTGTCACGTGTGTTGGGTTTCAGCTCGCAGTATTCTTTTAAAAAAAGGAATTACACGTTTACTGATCTCGGTCTATATTTTTTGACCATGTCAAACTAGAGAACCTAGATTTTTATACACGACGACATCAGGAGGCATTTTGTCGAGCTTCGACATTGATGGTAAGTAGGTGAGACTTCAGCACTATTAAAGGAAACTTGTGAGTGTTAAAAGTTTTGAAATCCTATGGATCTCAAATCAATGCCAACGCTCTGTGATTGTTTGATTTTTGTTTTAACTTTTCATTTTCTACAGCTATAATTGGAAGATGTGTGAATTCTGTATTTGGGTGGAAATATTATATCTTAACAGGTTATATGTCCAGGTCCGAGCATTATGGATGTACTGTAACTTATAATGCCAACCTCGTAAATCTCCCATAACATGGTTGTCTAAAAAAAAAAAGAAAGAAAAAAAGTTAAATATTCTGGACTAAAGTCAAGAGTTGTAGTATTTCACTCCTTTTGAAAACTTGCACTTTTACCCCTTTTTCTTTGAAAAATCACTCCACGAGTTCTCCACTCCTGAAACGTTACTGCAGGCTTTTTAAAAGCCTTTCAAAGACTCTTTAAGAAACCAAGTGTGTCTTCAACGGTTATCTGAGAGCCTCATTTATGAACAGGGTTTACAGGAAAGTGGAGCAGTACGTTAGTTACAAGTCGAGGGAACTCTCGCGACATATTGTCTGTAATTTATAAGCCAGTATATTTGACCATATTTGTGTAACATGACGCACTGTGACAGTTTGAAAACTACACTATTAAAGGTGCAGATAAAATCAAAATGCATCTTTGTAAATGAGGCCTCAGTTTTACAGCCAGGAAAAAAAACACACGAGTTTTAATCATAAACTAAAATGACATTCTTTTGAGGATTTGACTTTTTGAGCACAAACTTAAGTTATTTGTCAATAATCGCATCAGGATACAGCGACTACAACGGCTTTGAATCCAGCTACTGCTCGACTGTGTGAACCAAATGTGACAAGCTCTTTGTATTTAAATCGACTGAGTGGGAAAGTTTTTGTTTCTGGGTTTTCTTTTAAGGGTTTTCTGCTGTTAGCGGCTTCAGTTTTACTGTCGCCAAACTGAATCAGCTGACATGCTCAAGTGTATTAAAATATTGAAACAATCAGTCTCGTTCTGATTTCTTGATGCACACTAAAATGATACCAGGGGCAGCTAGAAGCGATTTGGTGGTTTGTTCGAGATGCTAAAGCTGGAGTAGAAGTACATTTTTCCCAACTTCCCTCCTTTCCCTAACCTTAAGAGCACTCCACCTGTGTAACACTGCACTCCTATAACACTGTCATACTCACACTTAACAGTAAAACAAAACAAACGGGTCAAAATCGATGCAGCAAAACCAAAAAAACTGTTTTATTCCACATATTCTTGTCAAGAACTGGCGCCTACATTACCCACAATGCAAATTGGCTGTAAAATTGGTTCCCCTTTTAATAAACATGTAGCACCTGACACGTAATTATACACAACGCTTGGAAAAGAGCCAAAATAGAAGCGATAATTTCAGTCAACTTTCTATCGATTTTTGTCAATGTCAAACACAAAGTCTCAAATACAGCCACAGATTTTAAAACATGAAACAAAAAGACGTCTGCTGCACAAAAAACTGAAACACCATTTCCACACTCATCCAGGTAGCTGCTGCTTGCCCACACCTTCTCATACACACATGGCACACTCAGGTAGTTTTACACGCATGCTGTATTGAACAGCTGTCGCCGCAAACGGACACATCTCCAAGCATAGAGGGAATGGCTGAATCCAGAATACCGACACAGGAGTTCTGCGTCTGTAGAGGTGAACTGATCGAATCCTCCATCGAAGACGTCCGCTCTGCTTTGAGCTCAGCTGCAGCCGTACAGCTGGCTCACCGAGACAGTCAGAGTGGCTGCTGGGTGTCGTCCGAACGGGCAAAGCTTCATCAATGGTTCGCTCCGAATCCCTGTGCGTCTTCCAGACTGTCGGCCTCCACCTCGATGGACACCACGTGGTGCCCGGGGATCATGGCCAGCCCCAGGACTCTTGGCTCGCCCTGGGAGAATGTGTCTGAAGACAAAGAGACAATCATATGAAACACTTTCAAGTTTAATCATCCAGGTAAGACTGGGGTTGTTGTTGGTCACACAAGACAGAAAACTGTTGAGTTTAAACTGAATTTTCTCTTAGATTTAGATTAATCTGTCGGCCGATGTCCGTGCTCACAAGGCCGATAGACAAAAAATGTCTTCAGACACATCTGCGAGCAGCCTTGTCAGTGCGGCTGCTGTGAAAAGATGTTGGCGGTTTGTGAGTTTTGGAAGGTGGTGAACAAGTTGTGAGTCCTGTAATGTAACTCTCATGCATCCTGCTGTAAACATTTTCATAGTTTTTGGTAAAATTGTATACATTTAACACTTTTATACGCCTGAATTTCCTATATAGCAGAATACAAGTACACATGATTTCTTCTTTATTTTGATATTGGCATTATGTATTGGCCATTGGTAGCCTCTCTAAATATCGGCATCGGCCAACTGAAAAACCCACATCGGGCTCTGTGTGACAGAAAGTGTATAGAAATACCATTTAACTGCTAAAACCACGTAATAACCCAAATCCAGTGACTATGAACCTGAAGATTAGAGGACGAGTGATCAGGAGTTGACTTCTGATGGTGATTTCACGTTAAACGCGCTGAGCTTATGTGGCAGTCATGTGAGGAGTGCCGTCCTATAATTAGAAAAGCTCTTCAGGCAAAATCGTTAATCTGTTCGAAGTATCAGGACATAAACGTAGAAAACTAAACCTTTCCTCTCCGTCCTTAACACTTGTTTCCTCCCAGGGAAATAACTTGGAGGAGGCGAGGAAAGGAGATAAGGAAAGTGAATGAGAGAAGTACATCAGCATCACAGCAATTTATTATGAAGTTATGTTAAAACTAATAAAATGCATACTAATTTTCTTTGATTGAATTTAGGTTTTTCATCTTTTTTTTGGAAATAATAGCAACTAAAGGTGCAACAAACCAATGTAAAGCATATTGATATACAGGCTGTTAAGTGTCTGTGTATAGGTATAAGGTAACCTCTGTTTTTAAAGCCATGCATGCTGTTTCTAATCAGTGTGGATATTTACTTTTAAAGAGCACTAGTTCCTAGAAAAAGACCTTTAATTAATTTGTTTCCTACAGAGGTGGAACAGCTGGTAAGACATCAGCAAAAAGATGTTTCACAGCCACCAAGAAAAGGAGGTGCTTGGGAAGCTACAGAGGTACCAGGATGCTTTTACTTCATTCTCATGCAACAGTTCTTATCCTCAATATATTGTTATAAAAACACACTGTCTTCAGTCATCACCCACCTGTGGATTTGAGGAACTCCTGAGCTGACCCGAGGATCACGTTGCAGTCTCGGTCTGTGCAGAGGAACAGACCCACCAGGGTCCGACCGTCTGTCATGCGGATCCTCATGTTCTTGTTCAGGAGCCCCTCCAGTTTCTGCCTGGCCTTGGACGATGAGGACCCTTCAGACTGCTCCTGGGTGAGGACAGAGGAAGATAAAGTAACGCAGAATATAACCATGATTATTGATTAGCTGATAAACACAATTATGTTTGATTCCAACACCTTTTTATTGCAAAAAAATAAATAAAATAAAATAGTAATTTGGTCCTTACACTCTGCACACGTTTGAAAAGTTGAAACAAAGTGAACAATATTAAAAGAAAATTGCTTGTAACCCTAATAAATTACACCTAGGTTTGCTGTCTGGTTAGCTTTAAATGAAACGTTTTTATTTAGGAATACTTTTAGGAAACTGTATGCTGATATTGCCAATAAAAATACACATTTATATAAGGTTAAGTAGTTTAATGTAGAGACATATAATCTAGTAAATATCGACTAATGTTACATGCGTTAGCGATCGGCTAACGTTGAGCTACAACTGAGGCTTTCTTTACGATGTTATAAATGAAGTTTTCTATAAGTTATGACCCCTGAAACAAGGCGAACAACCGTGTAAGATATTAAAACTAAAGACAAACACGTACATGAGTCGAAGGACCGTTTTCCTCAATCATTGTTGCCATAACCCTTCTTCTTCTCCTACGTTTGCTTACGGAGCAATTTCTCGGACGGACCAGCGAAACCGGAAGCTCAGTCTCCAGTTTGTTTGTTTTTTTTAAAGGGAACGACACAATCAATATATCGATCGGTTATAATGTCATATAACGTCCAGGTTCAGCATGGAAATGTTCATATAAAACGTAAAACCGAAATCAGTAGGAACACTTAATATTAAGTCCATCATTTTAATAGAGTTTTTGAAATGTAGTCCAAATCCGGAGGGATTATAAAGAGTAGAAATAATTTTAAGTATAAAGTGTACCGACCGACAGACCCCCTGTTAGGTGAACACATCTTATCAGACCAAGTTAGGTTACTTATTTACACATTATACAGTTAATTAAATTTAAAAGTATCCGTCCCTGGGTGGGCTCGAACCANNTAACCGATTGCGCCACAGAGACAGCTGAACACGCGGGGGCGTGCTTTCTCTTTCAAGCTCCACCCACATGTATCTGCTTAATTTTTGGATGTTTGGAAACTTTAATCATGGCAGTTTAAATTGAGTATTCATATCCAGTATATTATTACCCAGTAAAATGTGCTCATGTGTCTATAAAACCACCTGTTATGGATTCTGGACTAAGCTCATCTATCATCTCTCTACAATCCATACACTGTAGAGATATACTACACACAATGAATCACTGACAATGCACATCTAAACATATGTCAGGACAATAGAGACAGAGGAAGTCTGATTTAAAGGTAACATACAGCTGGTCAACAATGAGGTTCCTCCCATTCTTCCAATTCTATTTTTAAACCAAAACTGTCTTTTTCTTACTGTATATTTCCATAATTTAGTTATATACAACCTAGGCATATTTTTTGTTTGAAAAAAACATGAACATACATAGCTAATGATGTGGTTTTGTAACCAGACTTAAAGTTTAAATTATCCTTGACTTCAGAAGTCTCTTCCCCTTAACTATGATCATGGATCAGAGTTACTCATATACATGATTTACTTACTTAAAACCCTACAGCCCTGGTGGGACTCTATTAATAAATGGATTATCACACACTTCAATGTTGTTGTAGCTGCAGACATTTTAATTTTAATATATTTGTCAACTACAGAGAGATAATGACTGATAATATAGAATATTAGTTGAATTCCCAAAAAGTGCATAAAATGTGCACAAAAGAATCAATCAATACTTTTTCGCTGTACTTCTGATTCCCTCATTTTAACACCTTGTTTCCTCAGGCTCTGACCCACATTGATCCACTGACGGTGCAAAGTGCTTCAGTCAGCAGCACTTTCTACCCGGCCCTGGCACTGACTGGGCCAAATGTGTTGGAATCACTACAGCTGGAGGTGAGAAGCAGCTGGATTGTGTCCTTTTTTGTTTTGCTGGCTCCCACTAAACACGGAAAAGAACGAAGAAGAAGTTTTTTTTTTCATTATCATTAAAGCAGTGGTTTGAAACCTTTATGGCTTGAGATGCCTTAACAACAGTTTAACAAAGTAAGTTTTAGACCTAAAAAGGTAAAAATGATTAAGTGATCTACTGGACAAAAATAAATTACAGGGAGAAATCATCTCACAACCCCTAAGATTTATCTCAGGACATTTAGTGTTTTGGCTCTTTTGCTGTAGGCAGATCAGGCGGCTCTTGACTTGGCCTCCCTCTGTGCAGCGAGTGGTGAAATTACTGTACCTTTACCCTGCACTGCATGTTGAAAGTGAAATTAAATATATGGTCCTAAATAATTAATCTGACAAAACAATAGAAAGGCAAACACTTCCAACTGAACAGTACAGAAGAAACTAACACAACAACATAAAATTATTCAAATTAACAGTTTATTAGCACTGGCATTCTTACAGTATGTTACCCAGTTGGTATCAAAAGAAACAGTTCCCAAGAAAAAAAAGTTAGAATATCCTCGCCAATGCCAAAATTGTATTTTGATCACACATTAGTTTATTTTCACAGCAGTCGTTTTGACCTGAAATAACACAGGTGTTATTAATGATACTCCATAAATGTATCTCTCTAATAATAATTCTGGATATACCTTTTTCACAGCAGCCACCCTGACATGAAATAGTAGGGTAAACACAGGTGTTAAAAATGCTACTAAATATGGTTTTGTTCTATTCCAGGTCAAACAGAGTCAGCGTGCTGCTATTGTGCACGTTGCCTACACTAAATGGAACAGAACCTTAAGTACTGTCACTGGTAACGCCTGTGTTTACCCTACTATTTCATGTCAAAATGGATGCTATGAAAAAGGTCTATTCTAAAGCAAATTTAAACACTGATAAAACTCCAGAAGCTTCAAGGGTAAAAGGGCAAAAGACCCATAATTTGAACCTGTTAACTGGCTCATACAAGACTGAAAATAATGAATGGATAACTTTTTCTCCACAGCCCCGTCGCTGCATGAATGGTATTTAAGCATTATCTGCTCTCCGGGTTGCCTCGGTTCAGACAGCTCAGCTCTGAATGGAGCACAGGAGCCCAGTGTCTTCCTCTGTGTGTCACGCTGCATAAAATCTGGGTTAGCTAAAGCGCAGCACCCAGGGGAGGCACTTTTCCCTCTCATCCTCGACATGTCTCCCTGCCAAACGGACACGGGTGGGGGGTGCTGTGGGGGGTAATCACAGCACAGCAGTGCAGTGTGTCAGGGCCTGCGGCATAGGAGTCCTGGCTAGTTTCACCCTTTTTTTTTCCTTCTCTCTCTTGCAGCCCTTGTGAGATAAGATGCACGTCATGGCTACGAGAGATATCTCACACACCACGTGGATGGTGTGGCTGAGGTAATATAAACTACACACACATGCAGCCACTCAATCTGGTACAAGCGACACCTCGTGCAAAGCTATAGTGAGGAGGGCGGAGTGGTGGCAGTGTGCGGCTGCACAGATACACACACATTCCTCCCCGTGTGTCTTGCATTGCAAGCGTTCTCTCCTGCAGATGTGGCCCGTTGGATTCAGGCACAACAAATTCCTCTCTTCTATTTGTGGCACGAGACGGGGAGAGGGGGGAGTCGGAGGCGGTTCAGCCACCTGTTGCAGCAGAGGAGGAAGAGAGAGAGGAGAGAGAGACGAGAGAGGGGGGGGGGGGGGTGCATGGCAGACGAAGGCGTAGAAATGCTTGTTTACATGATACCCAGTTGTTGGTGTGAAAGCCACAGATGACAGAGTAACGCAGCCTACGCAGACAGAATGCAGAAAACAAACAAACAATGACGCTTCACACGCCGTTGTGGCAGAGAGGAAGGCCGGCCATGTGCTTGGGATGCCACGGGTTCAATTCAAATTTGCATATTTGTTATATAACTCCACATTTGGAAGGGGGAGAGCTACATTTAGAGTTAAATTGTCTCGTTTAAGGGCTTATTCTTAGCTTAATGCCAAATTAGTGCCAGCTCGCGACGGCGTTTGACCTGCAGAAACATCTTCAAAATGAAGATGTGTTAAAATATTTCAGTTTCAGGCTCGTTAAGACGCTCCTTAAGTGTTGCTCCATGAGCAGCTGTGTCCAATTAGCTGATTGTGTCACTGATTGATGCTGTGATCATGCTGTAAAAAGTAATTTAGTCTTACACATCTATTCTGTGTACATATTGAGCAAAGAGCTTTCATTTTAGTTGCAGTGGATTCTAAACATCAAATTTTTTTAGAGAATATGGAGTACTCTCCAATCCGTCGTCAGCATCCTTTAACAATGCACCTCTTCCACAGCAGACATCTAGACAGACTGTATGGTAATAAAAGCACAACTGTTACTAATATCAGTAACAATGGCTTGGTTCTATTGTCATGACTGTGCAAGCACAACACCGTGATCCTGAAACTGAAGCGGCATTCACACCCTTTCTTACACGTCAAATTGTCTTCTGTGAGAAAGACTGACCTCGTGCTGACCTCTGTGGTGACCCAAATCAGACCCCCCACCCCACCGTATATGACTGCTTTTTAATGACAGTGTCAACAGCTCAAATCACATAAAATCTGATCTTTTCACTTCTGATTTTAGCCATCATATGTGGTCTAAATTTAGATACAGGTCTGATTTTTTTATTTTTTTTTTTGCAATGTAACCTGAGTGTGAACTTCAGTCATATGAGAATTCAAGTGACTTTTGCGTCACTCTACATTGACATTTGTCATGCGGGTCGCTTCAGGACCGTGACCTGTTCACGCTGGAATCTGATATGATGTGGGGCTACATTTTAAAAATAATGTGAAAAACCAAACCAACAAAAACCGATCTGAGCAATAAATCAGAATCGAACATCAAATGTGACATAAAATCTTAACACAAGGTCCACGTACTCGCTTTTCTCTGAGGTTTCATTCTCATAGCTCTGAATACTGTTAGATGCGATGAAAATCTCCAGAAGCACCAACTAAGTGGACCTTTTGTTAAGTTTTTTTTTTTATTGTATTCAACCACTATACCCAAGGTCAGGAATGAACTTTCAGCTCAAGTGAACGACAATATTGAAGACCCACCTGTGACCAAAGATGTTGAGACATTCAGGTGATTCGTGGGATTAAAGGGCTCTTACTATAATAAATGCAGCTTTTTTCTGCATCTAAGAAATACATTCAGTCATTATGAGAAATGTGGTTATTGCTCAAGCAGACTCTTTGTTGTTGCTTTTTTGTCTTTAAGTGAATAAACCCAACAGAATGAGCCGAATGCAATGAAACCTTGTGCAGGCCTTGTGAATTGTTAACCATATATTTCCAACACATGGCTTTTCTTTTTTGCATAAAATGCCCCAGACGCTCACCAGGATGCAGACCTTCCAATCCAGCGAAGATCTTCTTTTTTTCCCCTACACATTTTATTCATTATGCACAGTTTCTCCTGTCTGACCCTTTTTGCTGTGAGGTTTTTTTTTATGTGAAAAGCAAATCAAAAATTCCTTTTTGTCAAAACAAAAGTGCCCCTGAAGCAGCCACTGAGGGCTGCATGGGATGCAGGGATTCCCATGGCCTTACTGCCATCCAGTCGACACAGCCTGCTGCCTGTGATTTTACAGTAAGTGCTCATAAAATCGCTTGTGTTTCGTTTCAAACCTCTGTATCGTCGCTGGATTATGCGCTCCGAGCTGTTTAATATGGTGGTTTATAAAGGGGGGGTGTAGTTTGCATATTCTGAATTGTTTTCATCCCTACCACAAGTAGTTAATTTTTAAGCAATACAATCTGATGTAAGTCTGGGCATGGCTGCGGCAGATTTTCCCAACCCCCCTCTCTCACAATCCCTCCCCAGCACTCTCACACACACACACGCA